CTCAGACGAGCTTTCTAAATTCTGCTGGAGACTTGCACCAATCTGATGGCAGTGCACTATACACGGATCATTTCCGGTGACCTCTTCGTTCACCTGCCAGCTGAAACTGTGCTCAGCCTCCTGCGAAAGGATGGTCTACCGGTTAACTCTGAGGAGGACGTTGTTGTAGCCATTTCTCGTTGGGTATGCCCCAACGACGGGGTCGATCAACAGAAACTGTCTTTGTACATTCTGGCGATACTGAAGGCAGTTCGCTGGTGCCAGACGACTCTTCAATCCAAAAACACCTGATGGATACTCATCAAATACGCGGAACAAGGATCATATCCCCCTTTTGCAGACTGTCGAAGGTGCAGAAATCTCAGAGGACAATGATAAGGCTGATCATCTCTCTCAGTTCTTTCGATCCGTCTTGACGACTGAATCCAGTTTTTTACCCCACACTCATGAAGACGATTCGATTCCATTTATTGATACAATCCTCATCACCGAAGATATAATTAGAACTGAGCTTATAAATTTTAAAGAATCGACTTCCCCAGGCTCCGATGCAGTCACGGCCAAGCTGTTGAAGGAGCTAGCTTCTGAAATGGCCAAGCCCTTAGCCTTAATATTCCAGGCGTCATGTGTTACTGAGTGCCTATGCTCGAAGTGGAAGACAGCAACGATCACTCCACATTTCAAGTGTGGAAGCCGAGCGTCCGCAACTAATTACAAGCCAGTGAGTCTTACCTCCATTTTTTGCAAAACCATGGGAAAACAACCATTAAGAAGGCGTTGATGCAGTTCCTCGAGCAGAATCACCTCCTTTCCGATGCACAACACGGCTTTCGCAGTGGTTGGTCCTGTCTTATGAACCGGACCTTCTCACTTGATTGCTGGAACAAAGCATGTGAAGAAGGTAAAATGGTACATGCCATCCACATTGACTTCAAAAAGGCGTTCGACAGCATCCGCACCAACACCTCCTGTAAAAACTGCGCAGCGCAGGCGCTTGCGGGATCCTCTTTCTATGGATCCAACACTTTTTGACAGGACAATCCCCAAGAGTAAAAGTCGGTCGACAACAGTCCTCGGGGGTGCCTGTGCTGAGTGGCGTCCCACAGGGCTCACTTTTAGGTCCCAAATTATTCCTTGTTTTCATCAACGACTGTGTCAGGGACCTAGACTGTGATGTCCCCTTGTTCGTTGATGACATAAATTATGGAAATTTGTCAAAAATAGGGCAGATGAAAACCATCTGCAAACTAACTTGAACCGATTGGAGGACTGTTCAAAGCATTGGCTTATGCCTTTCAATGTTAGTGGATGCAACTTTCTTGAAATCGGCAGTTGTAGAGCATCCAGCCCGAAGGTCTAAATGGTTCACCGCTTCAACAAGTTAAGAGCCAGGAAGGCTTGGGTGTGTGGATTACTTCTTCACTCAAAGCAACGCTAAACTGTGCGAAGGCGGCGAAGCCGGCCAGACCTATATTACAGTTCATTAGACGAGCCTTTGAGAGGGGCTTGAGAATGACAGCTTTTCCAAAATATTTGGGAGCTACGTTCGGCTGCACCTGGAATTGGCTATACATGCATGGAGACCTCGGACTGTCAAAAACGCTACCGCCTTAGAGAAGGTCCTG